CTCAAGATCAATATGGAATATCTCGTTATGTCAGATAACAAAGGGAGATATCAAAAATAAGGTTTTCTGTATTGGTATTTATTTTTTACACAAGAGAATTGTAAAAAAAATAAAATAAAATGGGAGACTTCAACTTTCAGCCAAGATAGAGTTGCTTATGGCTGACCAACTTTCATGCCCTCACCCTGAAAAAAAAAAAAGTGGATAAAGTCTCTTAAAAATCTGTTTTAAGTCACCAAATTGCTGAAGCAAAAAGAGCTTGAACATTAAGATCCTGGGGAAGGATAAATCTCATGTTGGTGAGCCAATAAGTCTGCTTTTATCTTTAAATCATTTACTGATTCTAGGCATGGGGTAATAATAAGGGTCCACAGCACTGTGCAACTGCTAAGAGGCAGAGAAACCAACAGAACTTTAACCAGTATCAGAGGGCACTGAAAAACAAAAATTAAACTGTAGCTTGTCAGAATATTGAACAAGAGGGAGGAGTGGAGAACTTGGCCAAACACTTAGCCTGTTTACCCATTAAGACATTTTCTGCATTCTGAAGCTATACAGAATGGAAAATTAAAAAGCTGAGCAGAAAATTGCTTAGATTCAAAAATTCAAATTCTCTGAAAAGGAGAACATGTGTTTTGGGAAGAGTCTTGATAGAGGATATAAGAATTAGAGTTGAAGAACTGCCAGTGGGGACAGATCCAGTGACCTGAACACTCTAGGCTCTCAGTTAGAAACCCCCTGGAGGACTACTTCCTGTAAGGGAGAAAATGAGAGTAAACTGAAGGTAGATGGGGCAATGCCTGTGGCTCAGTGAGTAGGGCCCCGGCCCCATATCCTAAGGGTGGCGGGTTGAACCCAGCACCAGCCAAACTACAACAACAACAAAGAAATAGCTGGGTGTTGTGGTGGGTGCCTGTAGTCCCACCTACTCAGGAGACTGAGGCAAGAGAATCGCCTAAGCCCAGGACTTGGAGGTTGCTGTGAGCTATGTTGTCACAGTACTCTACTGAGGGCAACAAAGTAAGACTCTGTCTCTAAAAAATAAATAAATAAATAACAATAAACTGAAGGTAGACTCTTACAAAAACTAAAACCCAGCTAAGGCCCTGATTAGATTAATGTAATCATTCCCCATTCTTCCCAGGAAAGGACGAGATATTTGTGTAGAAGGTTATCATTATCCAGAGCCTGTACCATTTTTCATAAACAATGTTCATCATTTAATAAAAAATTACCAGACTTGCCAGCAGAGTGGACCAAATAACCAGAAATCAAGGGGTGGGGGTGAAAGACAACAGAGAGCTATAGAAATACTAAACCATGGAGTTATCAAATAAGAACTTTCAAGTAATTGATTTATTAGTCCAAGAAAAATAGAGAAAACAAAAAATAAATTCCCCCAGAGAATTAAAATCCATTAAAAAGAGATGAATGGATATGCTAGAAATGAAAAGTGTAACAAATGAAATTAGGAGTTCAACAGATGGGGTTAGCAGTAGAATACATAAATGAATTGGAAGACAGAGCAATAGAAAATATTTAGACTAAATCACAAGGGGGGAAAAAACATGAGAGAGCACGAAATATATGAAGCACAATGAAAAGTTCTAACATCCAGATTATTAGAGTGTCAGAAAGAGGGAGAAGGAGAGATAGAAGTCATATTTAAAATTAAACGCCTGAGAAATTTTTAAAACTGATCAAAGACATCAACCCACAAATTCCAAGAAACTCTGTAAAAGCCAAGCAGAAAAATAAAAAGAAACCCACTCTAAGTCCATTACAGTAAAACTATTGAAAACCAAGATAAAAATAAAAATCTTTAAAGTAGCCAACAGGGAAGTGGTAAGAGAAAAATTACTTTCAAAAGGACAATGAGGCTCGGCGCCTATAGCTCAACAGGCTAAGGCCCCAGCCACGTACACCTAAGGTGGCGGGTTCGAATCCCCAGCCCGGACCCGCCAAACAACAATGACGGCTGCAACCAAAAAATAGCCGGGCGTTGTGGCGGGCGCCTGTGGTCCCAGCTACTTGGGAGGCGGAGGCAGGAGACTCGCTTGAGCCCAGGAGTTGGAGGTTGCTGTGAGCTGTAATGCCACGGCACTCTACCCAGGGGTACAGCTGGAGGCTCTGTCTCAAAAAAAAAAAAAAAAAAAAAAAGGACAATGAAGCTAAGCCAGAAAACAATTGAATTACATCTTTTAAAGTCCTTAAAGAAGGATGCCTAAATGCATTTATTAGTAAGCCTCAAGACAGCTATATATGTATACCAAAATATAGCACAGATAAAAAAAATATGAAGACAGATTAAGAGACAAGGATAGAATATGATATCACTTCTAGTCAGAGTCCCAAAAGAAACACAGACAATATTGGAAAAGAAAATGGTTTAAAATTTTTCTAAAACTGGTTAAAGATACCATTGTACAGATTCAAGAAGCCCCCAAAAAATCTCAAACAGGAAAAAGAAACCACAAACAACCTAGCATGCTTGTCACTTTTCTGTTGTTTCTCAGTTCCTTCTCGTCCCGTCTGTTACACTGGAGCTGCGACTCTGCAAACTACATTTCCCAGACTGCCTCTTCAGTGGGCTTCCTGTTAGATTCTGCCAATGGAAGCCACTAGAGGGAGATGAGATAGCAGTAGATTGTAGTTGCCCTAGACCTGGAGGGTTTCTTAGTATGAGAAAATACTTACATTAAGCCCCTGAGATTTAGAGGTTACTACTATACTAAAATTAAAATGGGGGAAAAAATTAAAATCAGACCCTTACAATTCATACCATATAAAAAGATAAAACTAAAGAGACAATAATGTATCCAGGACACAGGAAATGTCTTCATGATAATGAGGTATAGAAGGATTTCTTAAATGACACATAAAAAGCATAAATAAAAAGGTTGATAGATTTTACATAAAAATTAAGAACTTGTTTATCGAAAGAGTGAAAAGACAAACCATGAAACAGAAAATATTTGCAAAACATATAACCAACAGTTTGTGTCCATAATGTATTAAAAATTCCTGTGAGAAAGACTTGAAGGAAAAAACCTAATAACTAATAGACATATAAAAAGTTGTTCAACATCATCAATAATGTTAAAATAGATAATAGATGTATTCTTACTCAGGTCAAGCTGCTATAACAAAATACCACCTGTTAAGTTAAACAAAACATTTATTTCTCACTGTTTTGGAGACTGGAAAGTCCAAAATCAAGTGTCTGAAAGCCCACTTCCTGCCTCTTAGATGGTTATCTTCTTGCTGTGCCTTTACATGATAGGAAGAGGGCTGGAGCACTCTCTGGGGTCTCCATTAAAAAGGCACTAATTGGCGGGGCAAAGTGGCTCACACCTGTAATCCTAGCACTCTGGGAGGCTAAGGTGGGTGGATTGTTTGAGCTCAGAAGTTCTAGACCAGCCTGAGCAAGAATAAGACCCTGTCTCTTCTCAAAATAGAAAAACTGAGGCAAGAGGATTGCTTGAGCCCAAGAGTTTGAGGTTGCTGTGAGCTATGATGCTATGGCACTCTATCAAGAGCAAAGTCAGACTTTGTCTTAGAAAAAAAAAAATAGAAAAAAGAAAACGGCATTAATCCCATTCACGAGAATTACATTTTCATGACCTAATCACTTCCAAAGGACCCCACATCCTAGTATCATAATATTGGGCACAGGATTTCAATATATGAATTGGGGGGATGGGAGACACAAACATTTAGTCTATAACATGTACCAATCTAGCTAAAATGCAAAAGCATACCAGATATTGAAAGTTAGGGTAACAAGAACTCACATTTACTTGTGGTGAGAATGTGTACAAGTATAACCATTCTGGAATACATTATATGGTGTAGTTGAAGACTCACCTACTAAGAGTTCATGTTTCTACTCCTTAGATTTATATCCCACAGAAACATGTATTTATGTATACCAGGAATTATGTATAAAAAGCTTATCACTGTATTATTCATAATATACAAAGACTGAAACCAACTCCAACATCAAAGGTATACTGGCAGAATTAGCATACAGTCCTATAATATATAACAAAACTGAATGAACTATAAAAAATGCCAACAAACTATAGCTACAAAGCAACAAACATGGATAAATCTTAAAAATAATGTTCAACAAAATAAGTCATACATCCAAGAACACATTCTGATCTGATTAGTAAAAAGTTCAAAATCACAGGAAACAGAAGAACCATTGATTGTAGGGATTTCATCACAAGTGGTAAAACTACAAATATGAGCGAAGAAGATGGCCACAGATCACCAGACAGTGGTTACCTCCAAAGTGCTGGGGGCAGAGGAGGAGATGTGATACAGGAAGGGCTTGCAAGAGGCTCTTGAGGTGCTCATGTGCAAATGTTCTCTCCTCTGACTTGGATGCTGATGACACAGGTGTGCCTGCTCACCTTCACATCCCTTAAAGCAGTGGTTCTCAACCTTCCTAATACCTCCTAATGCCACGACCCTTTAATACAGTTCCTCATGTTGTGGTGATCCCCAACCATAAGATAATTTTCATTGCTACTTCATAACTATAATTTTGCTACTGTTATCAATCATAATGTAAATATCTGATATGCAGGATGTATTTTCATTATTACAAAAGGGTCACGACTCACAGGTTGAGAACCACTGCTTCTGTGTCGTATCATGAATAATTCCGTGTGCATATCTCAAAATTGTTAAATAATTTCAGATCACAACAGCTTTACAATCATGAACATACACGCTCTCTAGGTTTTCTAGGAGACAAAGAGAGACTATTTACCCTACTTTCCAGAAGTACACTGAAGCTTGGAAGAGACACAAGTATTGAAACCACATCGTCTAGAATCCAATGCCAGGGTTTTGTCGTTAAAACACTGCTTTAAAAAAACAAACAAACAAAAATTCCTTATCCAGACTCTTCCTACACAGAGGCAATGCATAGGAAAAGATGAGCTTTGTAAAAGCTCCTAGTCTTAAAAAATACTCCAAAGATGCTCTTTAAGGCTTCTGGCAGGGACATTTTATTTTTTGGTTAAAGCCACAATTGACAGAAATGCCATAAAAACAAACATGTAAACAAGGTATCAGAACTTTGGTTTACTGAAACATCTCACACCTAAAACATCTGAGGTACAAAGGCACCTTGCAAGGTGCTAGACAGCCTCACTCTGCTGCAGCCACTCTGACCCTAGCCTCTGGGCCAGAGATGGCACAGGCCGACTAGAAAGGCTGGGACCCTGGTCACGGAGGACCTGTCCCAGGATGGTCTCCCTCTGCTCCAGACAAACATTGATTCCTCCAAAAACACGCCTGAGAAACTGGTACAAAGTTGTCTGTCACGCTGAACTTGAAGATGACGTGGGCTGAGAGGCCAGGAAGGGGAAGCACAGAATGGGACATCAGTCAACTTCTGTTGATCCACAAGGCCTCAAGAACTCTTGTCCTCGTTCATGGAACCACTTATTGGAGACTGTGAACAGAAAGCAAGTATGTTACCATTTTATTGGTCAGTCCAGCAGCCAAAATGAATGATTCTTTTATGTGACTGTGCATTGTGCCCTGGGAATCAGACAAGAGTAAGACAGTCTCAGGCTTCAAGCTGCTTATGAGTTGTCAAGGAAGATTCATGTGTAAACAGATTATTGTACAAAATTTTCCCAGTGACACAGATATGTGCGAGGGTTGCCACGGGTATGTAGCATCTAACCATGGGAGGGACGAAGAAATCCCAAGGCTAGAATATAAAGCTGAACAGAAGTTACCCTGAAAAGGAGATGAATACACCCAGACGGTTCTTTACCAAGTGGGTTCTAGGAAATGGAAATAGGATGAGAAAGTTAAGGCAAGAAGCACCTTAGCATGAGTCAAGGATCTCAAGAAGCCTGATGTCACTGGGAGGTGGCAGGTGGAAACTAAGAGGTAGGTATGAGGAAGCCTACTAGCACTGTGGAGGGTTTGGACTTTGACCTCAGGTGCTGGGCACAAGAACACTGTCTGCCACCTGAAACCATGTCTTCAAACACACAAGAACCATAATTCCATTTCTCAAGCACACTCTCATAATGAATAAAAAATGTATTTCCAGGCGGTGCCTTGGCTCAAAGGAGTAGGGTGCTGGCTCCATATACTAGAGGTGGCAGGTTCAAACCCAGCCCCAGCCAAAAATTGAAAAAAAAAAATGTATTTCAATGTGCTATTGAAGTCATCAAGTTTTTAAAATATAATTTATCTTTCAGTAATACACATAGTTCATTTAAAAAATCAAGTTGTCTGCAAGGCTTACAATGGTCAACAGCCATCTTCTACTTCTTCCTACCCCAGTCCCTACTCCCAGGGAAACGTCAACTTCTCTAGCTGTTCCTTCTGATAGTTAACCTCATTCTTCTAGATAACATGCTCACAGTTCTATTTCTTGACTTTCAAGTTTGGAAATCTCTCATTTTACTCTTTGAAATACACACTTATTCCCTCCTATCTTCCCAATATAGTTATGTCACAACTTTTAGTTAAATTAACATTCAGTGTTTATATTATCATGTTACCTAAATGTTACCCCAAGCCATCTAGTACATTCTTCTATTTCCTTTCTTTTACAACTTTTCTCCCCCTGAAGTCAGCAACTGTCTCATTTTCTTTTTCATGTGCTTAACTTTCTGTGAACCTACTGCTGTTCATGTCCACAAATTCTCTTCAAGGGCTACACACTCATCTCTCTCTTTTTTTTTTTTGGTAGAGACAGTGTCTCACTTTATCACCCTTGGTAGAGTGCCGTGGCGTCACACAGCTCACAGCAACCTCCAGCTCCTGGGCTTAGGTGATTCTCTTGCCTCAGCCTCCCAAGTAGCTGGGACTACCGGGCTATTTTTTTGTTGCAGTTTGATGGGGGCCAGGTTTGAACCCGCCACCCTCAATATATGGGGCCGGTGCCCTACCCACTGAGCCACAGGCGCTGCCCCACACTCATCTCTTTGCTATCACTTCCTGTTACATCCTAGCTCAAGACTCTCCATGGCTCCCCACATCTGCTCCCAGGATAAGGCTCAAGCTTCAGCCTCAGTCCCAGACTTGTCTCTGGCCCCCATGCCACAGGCCTCCCCTTCTTCAAGAGACAAGGGCAAGCCAGCTATCACATAACCTATAATGCCGACTTTAGCCTGTGCCCCATTCTATATAGACCTTGAATGCCTGGGACACTCTTTCCCCTGCTTCCAGCTCTCCCTTCTGCTTCCTCAGAACCCTGCCAGAGCCTATTCCTCTGGAGAGCCAGTCTGCACTATGGTGCTATGCAGCTTTTCTCAAAGCTTCCTCAGCTTTCTAGGCATATCTGAATGTTCCCAAATAGCTATTCCCAAACATGGCTGGATAGCACTACCATTGGCCAAAAGAAAATATCTAAAGGAAGACAGTTTTGGCCTTGTGCAAATTGGACAGCAGCTTCCCAGCTCAGAATGTAAAGCCAAACGTCAAAGTCCAGGCTGAGGCCACCAAAGCTTACAATGCCCCTTAAGCTACTTACCCCACTTGCAGCCCACAAGCACAGGGCAGGCAGCATGTCTTGTTCGGTAGTCACCTTCTCCACTCCGCAAGAGGTTGTACCAGAATACAGCTGTACCCTGGGAAAGAGAGAGACTGTCAGAATACATTCTTAGGGCTCGGCACCTGTGGCTCAAGTGGCTAAGGCGCCAGCCAC